GAATGGCGTTCTTGGAGTCAAACCACCACCTATTGTGGACGAAGATCTTGAGGTGGCACAACATAGATCTGCCCCACACTAACCAACTCTTTGTACGTGCCTTAAAACCAACTCATCGAATCCCCTTTTCACGAATCTTACATTATTTGTTTTCGATGACTTAGCTTGATCTAGCCAACTCCTAAGTGGGGTAAGCGAACCCCGAAAACAATAACAACAACAATAGAGAATCCACTTTTAATAAGGACCATTGCAAACATTTAAAAGTCTTTTATAAAAGTACATACCTGTCCCATCCCCGAATTGAGAAGGCTCTGCTAACCAGCTGGTTTATGTTCTCGTAAGACTAAGGTTAGCGTCACCGTCGTTAAAAAAAAAAAAGCGGAACCAACAATGAAGGAAAATGTTGGCTGCTAAATTGGTGTCGCATTCGTAGTGGCTGATAGACTTAGTTGCTGAGCTCTGCCCTTCACCTCGGTGTATAGTAAATGTCTTGTCACAATCGCCAGCAAAGTGAAGTTTTGCCACAAATCGCTATTTCGCGCCCACGTCCTCTCGGAGGTGAAGGACGATCTGATTATGGATGCCTTTTACGAGCGCGTAGAGCATACTACTCCCGCTGCTATCATCAAACAGTGAAAATTATGCTTGACGACTTAAATGCCAGAGTGAGCCAAGGAGGTATTCTCGCCACAACTGAGAGAAAATTCAGACTCCACAACAATGCATACCCAAATGTAGATCGATTTCGTCAGGCTCCTAAAAATGATTGATTGTCTCCGGATTGAAAAACTCACAGCTAGATCGATCGATGTTGTAATAGAGGGACGACTTGCCTCCAGTGTATATGCAATGCGTACGCCCCGAGAACCCAATATAGATTTGAACTATTGTACTATGGTGAAGCAGCAAAGTTGAACACCCGCCTCTGTGCAGTAAAGAACGACCGTTAACAAACACAAAGAAGGTTCTAGTTGGAAAAGCTGGAATCAAAGCAGACAACCGAACGGTTTTCCACTCGACTTGCACCCTGCTCTCTGAGAGCACTCAGCAGCAACTCGATTGAAGGGGGCTGTTTGATGGCACTTCAAGTTCCTTACAGCTGCAAACGAAACTATAGAGTTTCGAAAGGGATGCAAAACAGCTGATATGACGAGGATTGCCATGCCGATAATAATATGCGGCTTTTTGCAAAATATCCTACTACGAAGAAGGATTTAATGAGTTGTGACAGGAAATCGAAAGCATTTCTAAATTTCGGTTCCACTCGTGGTTACCCACTTCCTACTGTTGCTGCATACAATTGTTTTTGTATATAACTTGTTTTTGTCTTTAAAATCATTTGTTTTTTGAAATTGTTATTAGTATTTAAATAATAATACTAAATTTGGTCGTCTAATTCGCCGCACAAAGTGTTTATTTTATTAAAAGTGCTGAAAACTTAAGAAGCGTACACAGATTTGGATTAACAAATAGTTAAATTGATAAATATTAATTCGTAATTCTACACGATATTATTTATGCTGGGCTGTGGCCTCTAACTCCTGAGGTATGCTAAGGAAAGCACGCGGGGTGCTCAATCCTTTGGCAGCTGGTTTTGAATCAATGGTCCCAGCAGCCTTGGGGTTGTTTAAGGGTCACAGCTCTAATTGAGTACTTGAAGGGTATAGCCAGTCTGACAACTAGGTAGCATTGCACTGAAGCGGAGCTTCAATTTCCGTTCTTAAAAAATCGATGGGTATGTAAACCGTCTAAGGACTAAAGGACCAAAAAATCTAACCCTGCACTTACGACTTACTTACGACTATCATTAAGATATATTTAATACTTTTTTTTAATGCCTTGCATTCGAAAACAGAAACTCTATATTTTCAGAAGTATTTCACATTTCCAACGACTAAGTAAAAGAGCCAATTGTAATTTTAACCGTTAAACTACGACATAATTGAAACGTCTAGAAATCCAAGTTGTTTGAGCTAAGAGACAAGAGCTCTCTAATAAACCTGAAAATCTGAGGTGTATCAAGTCACGTGGTAGTCAGAAACTTATTATAAAACCAGCCGTAAGGGGTAACTCAGATTTAGGTAGAAAAGTGCAGCTGACGCTCCTCGAATGTTTGTGGGAGCTTCCCATGACGCGGCACATCTGCGGCGACCGAGGTGTTAAACAGAGAGTGATTGCGTCGTTTCAAAAGTGATTACTTACTGTCGAAGACAAAAAGCGTCCTGGTCAACTCAAAAAATTTAAGATGAGGAATTGGAGACTCACTTACTCGATCAGCATCTGTGCCAAAAGAAAATCGATTCTGCGAAATCGTTGGGAGTGACTCAGCAAAGACTTTCTGTTCGGTTAATGTATATTGGATTTATTTAAGAAAATCCAGCAAGGAAACTGGTTGCCGTACGAATGGAAAATGAGGGATTTTATTTTTTTGTTTCTAACTTACATATAAGTTAGATGCAAGGCAAACAAACCTCTCCACTTGAAGCACCAGATGTCGAAAGGCGACTGTCCACTCGAAACTGGAGCTTGAAAGTCATCGGATCGTGACTCGAGATGAGAAGTGGACATATTACGTTAATACCAAGAAGAAATAATACTTTGCCAAGCATGGTGATTCCGTTCCATCAACGTCTACATCGACGCAAAAAATTCAAAAAAATATCCACGGTTCGAAGGTCATGCTCTGCAATTGGTGGGATCAGACAGCTGTGGCAAGCGAAACCATTGATGGGAAACGTTATCAACTAAAGCTACTGAGCCGTACAGTGTTTGAAGAACGTTTAGAAACGACCGAAAGGCATGACAAGGGGATTTTGCAAACATGACTAAATTCCGCCCCACGTGGCTTTAATGATCAAAAGTTATCTGGAAACGCTAAAATGGTGGTCTCATCCCACCCGCCAAACCTGGCTTATACCGACTACGGATGCAAAACGATTTGAAGGGTCATCGGTTCGGGTCTTTTGAAGTTTTCTTAGAATGGCTCAGTGATTGCATCGGGGAGAGAGATGACTAATTTTATAGAGACGAACGAACTTTGACTTTGTCCAGTGACAAAGCTAGCAATTGATTTCCAGAGCATATTGAATTTATGGAGGGAACACTTCGCCACCCAGTTGAATGACAGTGAAAGGGGATCATCCGGGCGACTGTGAAGAAGTTCGAATAACAATAGCCCTCTAGAAAAGAACAAAACGACGGAACCGACAGATTGTTCGGCGACCGTATAACAGACAAAATACCCACACATCAGCTTCTTTGAAAAATACCGTCAAACGAAAACATGTTCGTCGATTGTAATCTATGTCTACTCTGTCCTTACCCTCCTAAATGGGCCCTCCCCCCCTGCCAATTACCATGGCATAAGCCTCCTCGCTATCGAGTCTATTGTATGAAAGACTAAAGTCCACCGTCAACAAACTGATTGAAACTTGCTTTAGACCTAAGAAATACACCATTGGCCAGATATTTTTAACTGTGCCAAATCTGGGAGACTCTTTGTCGATTTAAAAGCTGGCTATGTCAGCATGAAAAGGACCTCCTTCTACGCCGCTGTGTCTGCATTTCGAATTCCCGCTAAAATTATGAATCTGTATAAACTAACGTAAAGCGAAATTAAAAGTACCATCACGATTGGGAAGAACTTTTCCGAGCTGTTCGATACCAATTAAGTTGCATATGTGTAGAAGGAGACCTATTTCAAAAGAGAAGGAACCATATTCTATAAGGGTGAGCAGCTTCTGGGGTTCATCGGCTCAACAACTGCGATGTGAGTTTTGCTTTCTTCAGACTGTATAAGGAGCAAAGTGCGTGGGTTTGGGTTGGTGAACGAGGATGAGACACAATAATCCCTGCGAGCGACTTATGATCCAATGCCTAGCGACCGATGGAACGATGGAGCGATGAGCTCTACGACATATACGGCGAAATTGTAGTAATTCAGCGAAATTGTAGTAATTCATCGAATCAAGAGACTGCGGATACGATGCAGTATATGACGGTGGAGTCAGAGGACAACGATGGTTTGAATTTCGTTAAAAAGATGGGGTAGAGAAGAACCCGACTACACTTGGTATTTCCCATTGGCGTCAAATAACGTAAAGAACCAAGGAATGTCTTTCACTCAGCTATAATCGCACAGGCTATGTTTACGCCAGTGAAGAAGAAGAATGACCAAAGTAAGTAGAATTACACTAACAAATATTTCTATTTCTTTAAAAAATATATTTTTATATATGTATGTATGTAGATATGTTTGCATATATACATATATACATTCACTGATTAGACTATCCACTCTCTAGTTTCAAACCGGATACTCAGTTGAAATACAGTGTAACTCAAACTGCAGCTGGGTTTCTAACCTTAGGGGAATACACTTAGCAGTGAATGTTATTTAACAGCAAATGCCAACTTGTTTTACCAGACAATGTTAATAACAGAACATGACTTACAATAGCTGTTAACAGCATCCCCTTTCCAACAGGATTAATTACGTATGCCATGTAAGCTACTTATGGCGCCACTGGGACTGTCACCTCCATCAACAGCACCAATGGCATCACCAAAACGATACTTTGGCGCCATAGAAGAATTGCAAAAATATGTTTGTATGTATAGTATATACTCGTATGTACTAATGCACGACGCATATAATTGCGAACTTAACGAACAAGAGCAGAGCCGACAACGCTTAGCTGTAAAATGATAACAACAAAAGCCAAGTGACGAGTACTACTTACAATACGTGGGTCACTTGGTTAGCCGTAAAAAAAAAAAAACCAAACAAAACAAATACAAACAATAACAACAACAATTGCGTTCGCAAAGTACAACGTCACTTGTGAAATTTTCAAAATTTGCGTTTGTCTTGCTTTTGTAAATTGAAATGCTGCCGCGTTGTGCGTTTGACTTTGTGGTCGGCCAGCATGTGTGTTTGGTAGCTTCTTCTGTTGGCCCAAGTAGCTGCTCGCTTTAGTCGAAGTTCACTAGAGAAAGTGTTAACAACGCGTTCAACTTGAATTTGCAGATCACGTGCGAATAATCAATCCAATATAGTAATTACTTGCAATAGAATTAGTGTTTGATATTTGAATTTAACGGTTAAAGGCGTCACGGTGTCGGGAAAATTTTCGCAAATATTTCAGTGGGTAAAAAAATAAATGCGACTGTTTTGAAGTGAAAGTGTGGAAATTTATTTTCGAAAGTGAAAAAAGTAGAAAAAAATAAAACAAATTTGAGACTTCAGTTAACGAAAGTCACTTTTTGCTGTTAAAATACTCAGAAATTAACTGTTACTTGTAAATTAAATAAAAACGAAAAATATGCAAAACGAGCTGAAAATCGTATTGGGCGGAGTGTGCCTTATTTTGGTGCTGCATTACAGCCAAGGTTGGTATAGCGCACTTTTTTATATTTAAACTCTTTTATTTATGTATATACAGATACAAATGTATATATGTATGTATGCAAAATATTAAGGACACTCCTCTAACACTTAGTCAATGGACTGTAGAAGGTCACGACCTCAAACTGGAGCCGGCACACAAACCCCAATTCAAAAAAAAAGCTTTTCCTAATGGGGTCGGCGGCCATCGGTAGAAATGTCAGTAAATCAGGTTGACTTTTTTTTTACTTATTGACGTGAAATAAAAATCTTCCATAAAACCCAACAGCGGTTAGAGGGACGAAAGGACTTAGCATTAAAAAAAAACCAATGGAATGTGAGAAAATTGTAGTTATGACCGGGATCAGTAATGAGCTGAACGACTAAGAGCGATCTTTCAATCGACTGATGCATTAGGTACTTATGTGCATATATACATAAGTATGTACACGTATGTATAATATATATCAGAGCTCTTAAAAAATTATATTTTTTAATTTTCTTATGTAAGAGAAAAATATTAAAAATATAGGATGAAAATGTTCAGTAAAAATAATTATTAATTCATATCTCAAATCCTTTGTGATGCAGAAAAAAAATTATTATTTAATCATAGTTTTAGTTTATATGAATATAAATCACACATCTCTTCAATTTCAATGAAAAAGTACTGCTCAGGAAAACGAGTTTAATTTTGACCAAAAAAAAAGTAAATAAATAAATAAATTTAAAAAATTTTATTATTTATTATTTTTGAATAAAAATCTCTAAAAACCGTCTTTTCTGAGCAAAAAACGTATTTAATAAAATAATGACAATTTTTGATAATAAAAACAAGTGCATAAATATGTACTCGTATATTATTTCGGACAGAAATAACATCTAAAAATCGAGTATTAAGAATTACAGCTGCCTCTTATATAATATACATATGTCTACATGGGTGTAGTAAAAAGAAATACATCATTTTTGCTTGAAATTGAATGCTATAATTTTTTCCTTCGTATCAAGTCTTATTCAATGTGTGTACCAAAAGAGTTCTTTTGCAATCTTTAGCTCTTGGGCAATCGAAACAATGCTTTTATGGCGGTAGAACTCGACAAGGTCCTTGATTTTAACAACATTTTCGCCAATTGGCCTTCCACTGAAGCATCTTTGACATCAAAATTACCGGAATGAAAGCGAAATTGTGCATGACTGACTGTAACAGTATTGGGACCATAAACACTATTCACATTTTCAACCGCCTGGCTTGCGTTTTCGCCCTTGTCGAAGAAGCACTGTTAAACAAAGCGAATTTTCTCTTTGCTGTTGTCCATCTTTAATGCACGCTCAACCAAAACTGGATTAAACAAACACAAGACTGTCACAAAAACATTGTTAGTACGAAATGTCATCATTCTAACTCTACCTGGCGGAACCCGTTCGGACCTACACAACGCGAGATACAGATAAATAAAGTAATCTATTGGAAAAAATAATGTATTACTTTTTACTACACCTAATATATATATTAGATCTATGACATCATGTTCAAATTTGTTGGGCGTATGCTGCCTCTGGCTTAGGTATACGATAAGAAATGATTTTCTGGGAAGAGAACCGGTTACGATCTATCAGCTATTTGGAACTTAGATAACTCTTTGCCAAGTTTAATGTTTAAATAATTTTTCTTTACGAGAAGTGGAAGACCTGGAACGGATATTTTAGAAAAATTTGCGGTTTTGGTTCAATTTATAATATATTCGAATAGTTTTACCATTTAACGAAATCTGCAAAGTTCGAAACATATGGAGGTTTGACGGTGCAAGGTCAGTCCTATATGGTGGATGCATCAACAGTTTCCAGTCAAGTTCGCTCAGTTTTTGACAAGTGACCAAAGGTGTGTGGTCGCTTCTCGTTGATGGATGTATTCAATTTGTGCAGTTGTTCACACTAGACATCCGAGTTAATCGTTTGGTTCCTTGGAAGCAGCTCAATATATACCTCCATACTCACCAAACTGACAGTATACTCTGTTTTTTTAGGTGAATATTAGCCTTTGAAGTGATTTGTGGCGCTTCATCATGATGAGACCAAGCTCGTTTTCGATTAACGTTATTGTAAATAATACATTTTTCATATCCAGTTAGGAATTGCTTCAGCTGTTCGAGAAAATTGCCAACAGCGTCTACGTGTATATGAACAATCTCCGGCTTCTTTTGTGGCAATATACATACATTTTTAAACTAATTCGGAAATAATTATCAAACAAATAAAATGTTTTAATTTGACCTCAAATTCCAATAATTATTTCAGACTCTGACACAGTAGGCAGTACAAGGTATATAAAAATTATATTATAAAGTCGAGTGTTAGGCTCGAAATCCTCTATGATCGCAAATGACGTTGGAATGAACTTTACTCGCTTGGTCTGTTCACCATAATATTTTTTAAATTTTTTTTACGAATTAAGTAAAGTGAAATAAAAGCAAAAGAATCAATTATACTACAAAGTGAAATCAAATATAATTTATTACTGTTTTATCACTGTTACATAATCAAAATACAACGGTTTTCTGACGTTGCCGCTGACGTCGTGTAATATTTTACTTTGTGCTATAGACATTTTGACCGGAAGAAAAGAAATAGGAAATCACTGGTAATGCATAGATAATACATACAAAGTATAAGTTAAAAGTTTGGGCTGAAGCCATATATCTGCGAATACATTTCATCAATTAAAACTGGTGTTTGTTTTTTTTGGATTTTTAAACATTTTTTCGCGGCGTTACTCATACGACATGGTGCATTCAATAAATTAAGAATTCATAAATTTAAATAAAAAACAACTTTAAGATTAGGTTTCAGCGATTTGAAATAATTACGTAAAAATTATGCTTGCTTCAGATCTATAAAATTTTTTTTCTTCCCCCGAAGCGTCACTCAAGCTCTGGAAATTTTTCCCGTTAGTTACATGTAATACAAAATTTTCTTACACAATTATCAAAACCCCTTTTCTTCTCAATATTACGGATTATCATATTTCATCATTATTGCCATCCTCTGCAAATAAGAAGCGGATATAGAGGGATTCAAATTAGATAATAGAGTACTCCTGCTTTGCGGCGTCTTTACGTCAAATTTTGATACCAGCGCCGCCTTTCGTCTATCAAATCACTGCAGTGCTTTTCAGGTAGGAATTTTCTGCAACTATAGAGAACCTGCTGATTCTGTCAAAGAGAGATCTTACTACAAATAATATTTATATCATCATCAAAGGATAGTATAGAGTAAATTGAACTTTTGGCAGGACCAGCACCTTACCACACGTTAAATCTGCAATGGATTCCAGTGTACAAAGATGTTGGGTGTAACTGTAAAAGCAGTGACTAAGAACTCGAATGTGGAGTGTGCCAGGGATGCCATACACAGCGAACCACTCAAGAAATTGCCAGGAGGTCGAAGAAGAAACCGAGGTATATAGATTGGGTTTAAGGGATAGTACAGAAAGAGGAGGTCAAACGAAGGATACTATCTCTCGCATACCAGTATATCTCTTATAACAGCAACATCGACGGAAACAATGAACATGAAAAGGAAGACAAGATGAAACAGACTTGTTTCAATAACAAACGCTTTGCTATGTCTTTTGTAACTGAAAAACCGGGAAAACCTGGGCGTTTCTTACAGAAATGCTGCTGTAGCTGGAGGAAGCGTTCACTTTTATGCGTTAAGTCCGTAAATTGTGATTATATCTTAGTCGATGGTCTATCCGAGAAAGCTCACGTCGGTTGTAAAATTATTTATACAATTTCCTGAGACATACTTGGTTGGCTGTTTAGCTGGTTCGTTGGTTGTTTGGTTCGTTTGGTTGGTTGGTTGGTTGGCTTGGTTGGTTTGGTTAGTTGGTTGTAGCATGGAGGTTGGGGACCTGTCCACAAGCGGACGCCTCAGTAACAGTTTGCTGTCCCACAATAATTTTGTGGTACGTCCTACGTTGGAAGAGTTCCAAGAGCTTAAGTATTAATCTATGGTTTACTCCCTTAGGCAACATTCAAAGGCTTTGAAAAAGTCTATGAAAGTGGATGGTGGCAGTCTTGCCAGCGCATCAGCGCGAACTTGCTCGTCCATCTTTTCATGGCCTTCTACAACCCTGTGAACTGGAACTCTACTGACATTCACTGTGCATTCTAGCTATAGTTTTTTTAATTGCCTCCTTGTATGCTCTAACTTATTTGGACTTTGTGTTGATTCACTTAATTGCCTTAATTGCTACTTGACTGTCAATCAAATACCTTATCCATTTTCGTATTAAAGCAGTACCCATTTGGCACCGTCAGTAATGCCCACAATCTCAAATCCACCACCAACTATACCTACTTGGAAAATAAAATAAAAATAATAATTGCATTTGAAGCTATTTTGGCAAGGGACGTAGTCGCAGATGAACTCTGCTTCTTCTCCACATTTTGGTCCATTAGTACAGATATGAATGTCTTAACCGTTACCAATGGGCCCAGTGCTCGTACATTCAAGGCTGCTACCACCAGAAAGTTCCCGTTTCCCGGACGCATTTAAACGTTTAACCCGAGTTCTGGCATATACAATACAATACAATTCTTTATTGTAGTCTTTTTGGGTAATTTTTATTAAATATGAAAGTACCAAATCCTTCGAAATTACCTTTTTAGTCTTCATTTCAAATTTTAGCTGAGGATAGTCTGACCTAATCCACCACCAACCGAAACAGAAATTCGCCATGTGATTATCTATGAGTTTCGCCGTAATTTACAGCCAATACAAATATTTAGTGAATGCCAAATTTGCATATGGAACGATTGTACCCTCTTTAAAGACTATACCTAAGTGGTTCCCAAGATTTCAGACTGGACATTTTTCCTTAGAGGACGGGCACCGAGAAGTTTGAGCACAATCTTCAACTGATGAAGTACTGAATTTGACGTAGACCCACCAAGAAATGATAACCAGTAAATTGGGCTTAAATATTAGGTATTCAACTGGG